TGGAATTTAAACATATGTGACAAAAAACTTAATTGCACGATGACGTCAAAATGGCTTTGTATAAAGGGGAACGCCTTCAAACCTGATTGGGGCACGTGTCACGCACCATTTGCAGACAACCAATAGTTTTCTTTGTTCTTAACACGTGGATAGACACACACTTCAATTCCATAGAGACTAGAGATTTCACACTCAATCACTAAGCCTTTTCGAGTTCTTATCCTCTATTACCGCTTCTTGTAAAACTTCCACGACCCATTGGCCTTTAGCCCATCTCAATGAAGTCACTTATTCCAACACGTGCTCAAAATCCAAGTGACCACCGCTACCTAGCATCACTCAATACTATAGCCGCCTTCCTCGAGTGAACAATGATCACCTAAGGAGGGTGTATTCAATTAGGATTTTAATAGATTGTTTTGAAGCTTAAAAGTCCAGTGGTATTCAATTAAGATTTCTAAGTAATGAATAAAAGTCTGGTGGTATTCAATTAAGATTTTAAAATAGATTGTTTTGAAGCTTAAAAATCTAGTGGTATTCAATTAGGATTTGTAAGTTCTAAATACAAGTCTGGTGGTATTCAAAAGCTTATTGATTTTGAAGTATTTCATTAAATGATGTATTGTATGAGAATTTTGAGTAGGTGATATAAATACCAAGCCCCATAAAAAAATCTCATCATTCTATGCCTGATTCTCACTTCTTTCTATTTTTCTATTTTTCTTTCTATCTCTCCTCTGTTTTTCTTTTATGTGAGACCTTGCAACCTTTGCGTGGCTGCCACCCCCCAGCAATCCACTGGCAAACTCCGTCAGAACCTTGATTATTACTTGAATGAAAACAACAATAAGAAATAAGAATAATTATTGAATTACTTTGTGGAGCATAGAGAAAAAAGTGAACCTCCTATGGAAGAAGACGAAGTGGGTGATTTGGGTATCTGAGACAGTGGGGTATCATGCCCACCAAGTGTTCGATTTGAGGTGGTGGCTAAAGCTGTGTGGTGGGTACTTTGGCTTGGACTTGGTTGTGTTTTTTTTTCTTCTTTTATTTTGCAGATTTTGGTGTTCCTTAGATCTATCGTGGATCCATACATTTCCAGGGACAGTCAATTGGTTTGGTCGACTTGGGTGGTCTTGCTAGAACTTTCGTGGTTCTTGGAGTCGACAAGCTAGCTGTGCGGATTTGTTTTTCATTGTAGTTGCAGTTTTCTATTGTATTATTTTGCTTGTGAGAGTTGATGATAGTTTTGCATTTGTAGTTGAGTGCTCAGGTGATGAGTGGTGTTCTTGTATGTTATGTCTAGGCTCTCAGTATCTTTAACATATTCATTCTGGCTATGTGTGGCTACGTTGGGAGTTACCATGTTGATGTCGGTGTACTCCCCCTGGACTAAACTTTGATGGTTACTGTGCCACCATCTTTGTATTAACCCTAAAAATTGGGTATATTCCTTCAAGTTATGTATTAGGTGAATGATGATGGGTGATAGAGTTCAAGCTTGTATAGAAATATAAGTAAAATCATGTAATTGCAATCTATTAAAATCATAAGTGAATTAAAATTATAAGTAAAGTCATGTAATTGCAATTTAGTAAAATCTTATAATTACAAATCCGACTGAAATCCATTACATTAAAATCATGTAATTACAATCTATTAAAATCACAATTGAATACACCCCCCTAAATTGACATCTCACCGTTACACAATACTCCATAAAAAGCCAGTGAGCCACCGCACCATAATCACCTATCTTCGTGTCCCATTCCAACCACCGAGGATACCACGAGACCGTTAAAATCGATAACCCAACTCTCTCTCTCTCTCTCTCTCTAACCGACAATAGCCAATAGACGATCACCTCTCTAAGAAAAGTCATGGTAATTTATAAGGCTACTCTTATCTCGTTGTGGGTATAAAATCAATAAGCGGGCTAGCTTTGGTTTCTCGATAGTGAGACTTGAGCTCTCGACCCATATTCCATGATAATCTCACTTTTTCTCTCGTTGGTTTTCTAGTTATTACGATTATACCAGTATGGTTATGATAGTTGTCGGTTACCAACATCTTGAGCCCCGAAGCGTTTCCTGAACTCTCTGCTTCCCTTGCCTCAAGTTCTTTTGACATCGACGCTTGAGTTAAATTGGTAACAACTGCTCAAAATGCTCATCAAACAATAAATCACAAAAGTTGTTATTTCTATTTTGTCCACGAATCATTATTGTATTTACCAAAAATGTCGAGTCCGAAAAATACTCAACGAAGGGTTCACGAGGAGAAGAGCATCATAAGTAGATCACTCCACAAGAAATCATCGTCGTTTCATGGCCAGTTTCCAGATATGGAGATGCCACAACTTCAGAGACCAAAAACGGTGCCATATATGGGGTCATTCAGGAACGAGGCCGGAACAACAACATCTATGGAGTTAAGGCCGAAATTGACGAAGATCCTCCTCAATGTGATGATCCAGGGGAGCGTCGGCACTGTACAAGTCTTGATGCCGCTCGACTTGACAGTGAAAGATCTTGTGGCCGCTGCCTTACGACAGTACAAAAAGGAAGGTCGCCGTCCGATCTTGCCCTTTGTCGATCCCTCATTGTTCAACCTCATTTACTCATAGTTCATCTTAGAAAGTAAGCGTTTGATTTGTTATTGGGCTTATGGAAATGACTGATGTGATTTTACTTTGGATATGTTTGATTAAGGGCTCATTTGGTAGTGATGCTTGATAGGCCAATAATCACTTCTCTATTAAAATAAATATAAGTGGTTTTCAGCGATTTTATGGAAAAGCACCGCCATGTGCTTCTCTCCAAAATTTCTCAAAATCGCTTAAGTGATTATTTGGAAAAAAAGGCACGTCTCTCACATAATCACTTTCAAATAGGCCTTAAGATGTGTGCTCGGTGGTGATTGATTGTTGTGTTCTTTTATGTGGGGCTAGGTTTGCATAGGGAGGAGAAGTTGATGTCATTAGGATCGAGGAACTTTTTTTGTGCCCAAGCACAAACGCAATGGACGGTGGCGGTGGTGTGACGATGTTGTCAGTTTCATGTTCCAAACAAGCTGAGAAAGTTTCAAGAACATGGTTTTCGTGGATCAAGTTCATGGATTTCTTGTTGTAATTGGCTTAATTAGTTGCTAAATAAATTAAAATATTATTTTTCTCCTCAAAATGACTTTGGCTTTGTACATAATATAGGTTCATAGTGTAATAAAAGAAGATTTTATTTTAGGTTTTATCAGGGTGCTAATTTTCCTACTTCTATTTTGTTCACTGACACTCCCTTTTGTTTTTAAATAATTTTTACTATAACATACGAGGGAGTTTAAGTGAACAAAAGAGGAGTGATAAAATCAATTCTTTTTTAATATTAGCAAATCAAAAAGGTGAAATAAGCTTAAAATTTTGAAAAGTGTTCTTTTTAAATATGCATGTCCCTTGAATGATAAACATTTCCAATTATTTTAAAAGACTAAGAGCATTTTACTAAGGGCCAGTTTGGTATTGCTGTGTTATAAAAATAATTGCTATCAGATTTACTATGAGAGAAAGAAGTTTAACATTTGGTAAATTTTTTGTTAAAAGTGTTGTTGGTACTAATTCCCGCATAATCAAAAAAATGATTCCCGCATAATCATTAAACCCAGCGCTTTTTCGAAATTGATTCATACATAATCAGAAAATGAAAGCACCTCATTAGTTGTTTTTCCTTATAGCTATCTCTCACAACAATTTTTAATGATAAGTGATTTTTTAATAGTTTACCAAACGGGCTGAGCGTTCCAAATTTTTTTTTAAAATCACTTATTACCCCAAATAAGCAATGTCAAATGGGCACTAAGTGGGTCACTTTAACTTTCAAAGATAATGTAGAATTTGATCACAGTTTCAGGAAGCACTACAGTAAATAAGCCTACTAGAAACATTAGGGCCACTCCAATCCGTCGTGTTTCTATAGTTGCCCTTTTTGGCCGATATGCAATAACATGTAGGCATGGCTTGTAATTTATACCAGGGTGGGGTTGACTTACTAGAAAGTTATTGTGTTTTTTCTTACAGAATCTGAAGGGGAATTTTTTTTTTCTTTCCATGTTTGGTACTACTGGAATGGTAGTTAGAAAATATTAATTATTTCTTTTTTCATATTCAGTTTGTGCATGAATTAGAAACAAAATTTGTTTTGTTTTTCATATATATTCCCACATTAGAAATATGAAAATAAATAAATATATAATCACTGTTGCTTACCTTAATTGGTAATTAAAGAAGATGTAATTAATTCTTACTTAGATTTTGGGAAAGAAAAATGAAACCCAAGCTGGATGGAACATTTCCCCTATTTTCTCAAAATGCATGAAACCTTCTCCCCAGCGAGGACTTACCAAATATGAAAAAGAAAATGATTTTTCATCCAAGCTCCTTTTATGGGCAAAGCCTGCTTTCCATATGGGTGGGCCCTATTGCAAAGTTTTTCCTCTCTTGATTTATTATTTTACTTTTAACTTATAATCCCTTGTCTACTTTGGCTTACAATCAAAACCCTATACCCTATGCAAAATCCTGCTCTTTATCGCTCACACTCTTGTTCAAACCCAATTTAATGCCCCATTGTATTCTATATTATTTAACCTAACTCTCAAGTTCCTCTTATAAGGCTTGGGTTACAATACAACTCGAAGTAGGAAACAAAACCCTTTATGCTATTGTCTCGGCCTTTCACATTCAAATTTCGAATGATTTTCTTGCAATCTCTTATAATTTTTCTAGGGCACTTTTATTTTAGGGTTATTCGCAGCAATAGTCCCTCAACTATACCCGTAGTTGCATTTGGGTCACTGAATTCAATTATTAGTTGCAGAGGTCACTCCACTATGTATTTTGTTGCACCAGTAGTCATTCTGTCAAGTCTGTTAGTTTTTTCTGTTTAAAATGACGACGTGGCAAGCATCTGTGAAAATCTCATAGATTCGTGAGGGGCAAATCTGACTTTTCAGTTAGCCTTCTTCAGCTCCTTGAACTCAAACTCCCTTGGAGTGCCTGGAAGGCTCTTGAGTGCCCCTAAGATATTTGGCTCAAACGCGGCGGCCTTCCTACTCTTGTGCACGTAATATACCAGCCCTCCCAAGCCCAACAAGAGCACCACCACCACAGGTACACCCACTCCAAGTCCTATCTTCAGCCCCTGACTTTTGCTATATTCACTCCCGACACCTGACAAATTCTCCACCGTCAGATTCCATCTTAACAAGCAATTGAGATGGGTTGCACTGCCGATCAATGCAAAGAAACTGAAGTAGGATTTCTGCTCCACAATGTCTTTGAGATTGAGATTAGATGTTAAGATTGGATTTGTGGGCCTGGGCCTGATGACGAAATCGCTCGTTTTTGGGTCCCGCAACTGTTCGGCTGTGAACACGTCTAACTGACGCGAAACGCTGTCATATTGGATCCAGATTCGAGAGTGAAACAGTCTTGTTGGATCGGATTGAGTTGATGTTGAGGCCCAAATGCTTGTCGTCCGGGTCGAAGCTTTGCTTATAAGTGTCGAGCTCAATGGCGAGGAGGTGGTTGGGTGGGTTCCCATCGGAGGCGGCGTTAGTTAAACCGAGGTATTGACCTTCGCTGCCTTGAGGGAAGGTGAGATTCGGTGCTATGAGAAAGGCCAAGCCCTCTCCGGGGAGTGGGTGTACCATGCCGGAAGTGATTATAGCCAGCTGCTTCAGCTTCATGTAGTAGCTGCTGCTTCTGGAGCAAGACGACGCCGTTGCACAGTTCAAAAAATGATGAGACGATCGAGGGAGAGACAAATTTGAGAGGTTGGACATTGTAAACTTGGAAAGACAAATTTGCCCATGAAATTGACACCACGTTAGCCAGACTTGACGGAAGGACTACTCATGCAACGAAACACATAATTGAGTGACCTCTGCAACTAATAATTGAATTCGGTGACCCAAATGCAACTACGGGTATAGTTGAGGGACCATTGCTGTGAAAAACCCTTTATTTTATTAAACATGTTTGTCATTATTGGAAAACTGCAAGTGTGCGAACGAGAAATCTTTGTCTTTATAGAGAGTATTCAAATTAGGGCTAGGCAACCAAACCAAGCTCGACCGATAAGGTGACACATCCACCGAATTTACCTTGTCGGTGTGCCTTTTTTGTAGATTGGCACCAAGGTAGTGATGCCATCAACTGACTATAGTTGACGGGTCGATTCGGTTTCAATGAGAACCTATGTGATTGTGGCAATGGAAATGAGCAGATCTAGTCATGAAGGGGCAATGATGCAGGAGAGAGAGAGAGAGAGAGAGAGAGAGAGAGAGCAAACGGTGACACGACAAGAAGATAGAGAAAATGCTAGGGTTTGTTTAGATATGTAGTGGGCGAATTCAGTGTGGGGAATATGGGCTCTCTTTAAGCCAACCAATAGGATAAAGCCACACAAAAAAGGTTACTTTGAAAAGAGAAAAAAAAAGACTGATTCCGTTTAGTTAAATTGGTGAATTTAACCAGTTCGATCTAGTTCGACTGGTGAAAATGCCCAATTCTTATTGAAATCTAGGAGACCACGAAGACATATGTGCTTGCGCTGATGATGCTTACAACACATATTTTTGTTTGTTTCAAGCCTTCCCTTAATGACAGGGATTTGAAGTGGCAAAAAAAGGGGTAAGGTATGTTCTAAATTTCTTTCTTAATTTTTTGTTTTTGATAAAGTATGCTTTGAATTTCTATTGGTTGATCACTCTCAAAGGGAAATACATCATAATGGTGGTCAATTATCATTTCAATAACGTTAGCCTTTAGGTGTCCACAAACCAATATGCTTTTAGATTCTTATGATTGAATGTAGTGACAGAGCTAGAATTTTTAGATCAGGGATGTGCAAGATCCAATTCAATCTGTTCAAATCGACCAATCCAATCTAATACAATTTTAATCGGTTTCGATGATTTGGCGGATTGGATTGGATTCCTAATTTCTAAAACCGACATTATTGGATCAGATGACTGATTTGATTGTGGGGATCCAATCCAATCTAGTTAGTTTCATGCTTATTTTGCTCATTAGATAATTGTCATTAAGAAAGTTGTGAGCACTTTAAGCAATTTGACGGAGTTATGTTTAATATATTATAAAATCAAAATACTTTCTTTAACATTTCATTTATATTTTACATTTACATATACTAAAATGTTTGATTATATTAAACTTGACAATGTATGTTAAATATTTCATTATTATTTTTTCCAATATGAAAACCGATCATCCAATCCAATATTAATTGAATCTGATCGGATTGAATTTAAACCTTTAATGTGATCGGATTGGATTGAAAAATTCATAATCCAATCTATATTGGATCATATGCGAATTGATGAAATTATATTAATTTTGAACCGACATATACCCCTATATCAAAGGACCAAATTTAAAACTTAATTGTAAATCACTTTATCATCTTATATGAGAGGCCCATCACTCACTAAATTGTGATTTTTTTTTTTTGCCATAAAATCATATATATTTTTTCCAAGTGTTGTAGGAGTTTTAAGGGATTTTTGGGAGGGAAAGCAAGACCACTTCAAAGCCAGCTTTGGATCCCTCAATGCACATATTACGATGATGTATCTCCATCAACATGCCAAATTTACCTTTTCTTCCTCTTCGGTTTCTTGATGTTTTATTTTTCTGTCAATTGGCTAACAGTATCTCCAAGGGGATGTCAAATGCAAAATGTTAAATTTAAATTTGATGACTTATGTGACAATTTGATAATTTGGAAAAAATTTAACTCCACTCGAAATGCCAAAGGTCATATTATTTTATTATATTTTCAAAAGCAAATGAGGCCCATATGATGCATAAAATTTTAAACAAGAGTCCTTTCGAGAGTATATGATAGTTCATGACCCCCCATGACTAAAAAAATATTTAAAAAATATTTGACATCAAGCTTTTTGATATGTTATTTTTGACACATCTCTTTCAACCTTCAAATCCATGAAGGATTTGACTACTCGGTTGAAGCAACTTTAACATTTAATTTTTGACATTTTATGTCCATATAGCAATTTGACATGGTTGGAGACGCTCTAAGTTGTTTTTTCAGCCAGTCGGATTCCAAATAAAAGATTACACTTTACTTGGAATGTTGGGTGTGATGATCAAATTGTTAAGTGCAAATAGCTCTCATAAAAATTTACTGCATTTAAGAAGCCCATGCTCCCACGGTTCGACTTTTGAATCCAAAGCCCAGGCCCAACCAAAGAATGAAATGCGGACAAGTCTGAAAAACCCTAGAAGAAAACCTGGCGGCAATTCCCTTATAAAATGCCCCCTAAACCCTCTGACCATCGCCTCTTTACATCGCGCTCTCTCAAATCAAAACCCTAGCCCAAAAACCCTAGCCCCCGCTCTCTCTCTCTCTCTCTCTCTCTCTGTCCCTGTTTCTTGCTCGCTCACTCGCTCTGCTTCAATGGAATTTTGGGGTAAGCCGTCTCTTCCCTTATCGCCTCCTATTCTTTTATTCCTTTTCTCACTGATTAGCGTTTCTCAGTGTTTGTCCTTTTCTCACTGTTTACGTTCTCAGTGTTTAGCTGAAAACAGTGCTTTTGTTCGTTTTTGATAATCTGTGTTTAAGGCTTAACTTGGTGCATTGTCCTGTGATAATTGTTTTACTGTTGTGTTTTCATGTTTTGCATTTTATTTCTGATAATTTATTCAATGCGCTTCTGTACGGTAGAGGTTATGGTAGTAAGCTTGTCTCGGACGGGTCTGAAATTGTTTGTGTGGTTTCTGTGTAAAAACTGGTTAAACCATAAGTTTTGGACTTGATGATTTTCAATCAGTGGCTTCTTATAGTTTTGGTTTTATGGTTATGCTGATGAAAAATTATTGTTTCTGAGCCAGCCTCATGTTGTACATGAATTCTAGGCTTTAATCGTGTTGAATTTGCAAACAATTTCTATAACATGTGCCTTGCAGGTGCCAGTTCCCTAAAAACCATACGCTTGATGATCTGAACCCCACTTTTCTTTTTCTTCTATTTTATTAGAACCCTTTGACGATTTTTGTTATTCTAAAAAATGTGTAAATCCACCAAGAAGTTACGACCACTTCTGGTTTTTCCATAAAAAAATTTCTTAAGCAGTGGAGATTGGTCTTTTTCTCGCCTAGTCGTAGTTGTGTTTTATGTAATGTGGATGGATATTTTTGCATGCAGCTGGTTTAGTCTTTATATGCAAGAATCCTTCCTGTTTTGTTCTGGATATTACTGTACTCTTTATAATAATTACGTTTGTTTATTTTAGGTGTTGAAGTGAAGGCTGGAGAGCCAGTAAAATATGTGCCTGTTGATGGCAAAGTTGTGCACCTGTCACAGGTAGTGTTTCTTTTTATACTAGTCCTCTTTGTTTGATTCGTCTACTTATTTTTCTTTGATATCACTGTGCGTGTCAGTGCCTTGTTTTAGTATGTTTTAACGTTTCTTTTGCTCTAGGCTTGTTTGGGCGAGACAAAGAAGGGAGCTGATCAGGGTGTCATCTCTGTGAAGATTGATGACAAGAAGTTTGTTTTGGGAACTCTTTCATCTGATAAATTCCCTCAATTGTTCCTTGACTTGGTTTTTGAGAAAGAGTTCGAGCTTTCGCACAACTTGAAAAGTGTCAGTGTCCACTTTTGTGGTTATCAGACTTTGATTGGAGAATATCCTTTTAATAATCGTGGTGTATGTTGAATTGATTGTTTGAGCATGACATTTTATGCTTTTCTTTATGAACGAGCTACTTTGTATATTTGCCCTGGAGTCTGCAGGGAAAGTTAATTTTCAGTTTTCTTGTATCATTTCTTAAAAAAATCTTAATTAGTAACTTCGATCAGTTTATGGTGTTTGAGCAGAAGTATTGATTATTTTTGGAAAATAATTCGTCCATAATAATTATATTTTAAAATGAAATTTTTGTATACAGGGCTTCATATTGTACTGAAATTAAAATATTGAATGTTGATGATTTGATATTTTAGCATTGACGAATTGTGATCTTTTGTATTTATTCATTGCTTCCTTGACTTCTTGATGTGTTCTTTGCTGCCACGGACGAGGATGGTGATTCGGGTAAATGCAATGCCATTTTCTTTTTTTTGTTTTGACATGATTATAAATTTATTCTATGTCCTTAGCTAATTGGTTACCATTTTCTGCTTATGTAGAATTTGATTCCTCAGATGAGGATGTCCCGATGGAAATCACACAGAATGGTAAATGTTTGACATGGATCTTCCAATTTGTCATGTGGTTTCTGTTGATCTAATTTATTCTTATCACTTGTATGCCAGCTCCTTCCAAGACTAACACTGTGAAACCCGAAGCTTCTGAAAAGCAAAAAGTTAAGATTGAGGAGCCAAGTAATGATGATGATGATGATTCTGATGATTCAAGTTCTGAGGATGGTTTGGGTGGTTTTGAAGATTCATCAGATGAGGTATGGTCACAGATGAGTTTTCTTGTGTCCATGATTCATTCATAAACAGATTTTGCACCGATTGCATACCGTGCTTGGCCTTGAATAAAGGCTTCTCGTGTCACTAAAGTGCTTTTGTTTTACCCAACTATGAAGATATGTTTTCATGTGTTGATTTGAAGTTGTTTGTTGTCTGAGCTTATTGGTCAAAATATATTCTTGATTGATAGCTTGTTATGCCCTTTATAGTATTATGTAACTGCTTAATCACTTCGGAAATTTGCATTTCTGATTGTAGGATGATGATAGTGATGAGGATGATGACGCTACTGATGAGGATGACGAGGAGACACCTACTCCTAAGAAGGTAATGAAATGGTTTTGTGGTTCTCACAGTTTGCCTGGTCTTTTGAAATTATTGACCTTGATTATTTTTGCAAGTTCGGTTGTTCATGTATGTTGATTGTTTATCTTGAAGGCTTCCAAGAAAAGACCCAATGAATCTGCTTCTAAAACACCCGTCCCTGCTAAAAAAGCCAAGCAAGTAACTCCTCAGAAGACTGGTACTCTCTCTCTCTCTCTCTCTCTCTCTCTCTCTCTCAATAATACCCAAATAGTCATAGTGTATTTCTGTGTTACCTGTAATATGGACATGGCTAAAGTATTTACGAATTTTTATAGATGGAAAGAAGGCTGCGCACACTGCCACCCCACACCCTGCAAAGAAGGGTGGAAAGACTCCTGCTACAGGTGACAAGCCCAAGCCACAAACACCAAAGTCTGGTGGCGAGCACTCGTGCAAACCTTGCAGCAAGTATGTTAAGCATACCATTTTGTTTTTTTCTGCATGTAGTTTTTGTTTTCTGTTGCCGGTTTTTATGCTTGTCATCTTGCTGTTTGCAGGTCGTTTAACTCTGATGGTGCCCTTCAGTCACACAACAAGGCCAAGCACAGTGCCAAGTAGAAGGATGTGCAGGATCATGGCATGCTTATGATATATAGTATTTTTGGGCATTGAGAGTACAGAGGGTGATATGTTAAGGTTATGGCGGTAGCAACGGTTGTCCTCGGGTTTTGAGTTATCGGCTTGTCTTTTAGAGTTGTTATTTCACAGTTAACTGAACCTATATTTTACTTTTGTATTTGGATATTGCTTATTCAACTTAATTAGGTGCGATATGTTTAAATCTCTTAGTCTTTTTTAAATTTAAGTGCTCTACTTTTAGCCCCTCTTACAAAATGAGAGAATGCTCTTTGACCTTTCGATTGTCCTATATAGAAATAGGATCGATTTTCCAGGTTTATAGAACTGTGATTATGCCCTATTGGAATAGCTATTGATTCTTCAGTGTTAATGGGACCGAGGGTTAATGGAGCTTTTGGCAGAAAAATGTGAAGGCGTTTATGCTGGGTGCTTGAATTACTGCTAAAAAGCGCCTGGATTTTTAGCAAAAGTTTGGGCTGCCACCTCTTGATCCAATCCGTGGAAAAATCTCAGGCTCATATTTAGCGAAGTTTCCATGGGTGGCTGGGGAGTAGGCAAGATTTCAAGGCTGATGGGAAACCCTGAACTTAACATCTCTAGACCCTAGATTCCGTTGGATGAGTTGTCCAAATTTCCTGGCTGCAAATTCAGTTTGCACTTCAGATGTTGCATCTTGCCAGATGTAAAGCTCTGAACCGTTGATTTCGGATTTTGGGATCGTATTGTGCATTTGGAGCTTGTAAAGCAATTTGCTTCACATCCGACTTGCAGCCCAGGTTCAATGTGCACGCTATTCTCTGAATAGTTGAGAGCTATGGCAGAGGCACAAGTTTCGGTCTCTTCCTCTTCCAATCCATCTCATCAAAAAAATAATACTGAACAAGAAAGTCGAGTATCATATTTATTGCTTTTTTTGAAATGCTTTGGGAACAAAGTGAAAAAAATACGATGCGGGTTTTGTGACGTGAGGTTAAGAGCATTTTTATATTTGTTTCCCCTCTCTTCCAATATGGCTTGTATTAAAAAGAATGAAGCGAAGCTCACTCAGTCGCGGGTTATGGGCCTGGTGTATTAAGAAGCAAGTGGTGCATGAGAGACATTGGCACAAGGTTACTCTGAAACAAATATAGGTGAGATTTAATGGCTGAAAACCAGGTCCAAAGTAGGCTAGACAACTAGGAAATTTCTAGGTCGTTCATTTCCAGTTTCATACCCACGCTTTGAGCTTTGATTTCTCAGTGTGTGGTGGGTGTTTGTGAAATCTTTTTTGGGGGTGGATCGTTGGTTTTGTGGGTGTAAATGTAGCTTTAAATTTACAAACAGAATCATGAAATTCTGGAATTTGGAACTACAAATTTACCAAAACCTGCTGCACTCAAAATCCATACACAACAATAGCCATAAGATTAAATTGCAGAAAAGTTGCTTCTCATTGCAAAACCTGGGATAGATTCCATGTTGACTTGTGAAGAAAAGGAAAATAAAAGTGAGTCCTAATAAAGGTCTATGCTGTCTCCCCGAAACAAGAAACCCGTCGCTGCATAGAAATGAAAGTTTCCAGATTTATGCATACAGATATTTCCATAACAGTGGCAAAACCCGATGATCCAAATGTAAGAAGTTCATTTATACCATTTATAAGGTTCTTAAAAACAACCCACCCTAATATAACATTTAACACATTCCTCTTTCATGCCCAGGATTGATAAACCAGCAGTAACAAATGGCTCGACATTAAGTTCACAGATGATTTTAAGCATTGTCAATACCTTAAACAGAAGGAATAACATCATAGCCAGTCAAGATTTTAATGCTTGTGCAATTCCAAATATGACAATACAACTGGTCCAACAACAAAAAAGATATTGGATGCCACACTAAACCTGCATCATGATGACTACAACAATCGACCAACAGCAATGACCTACCAACAGTAATAACCTACATCAGTCGTTCGAGTGATGGAATAGGAATATACTTTCACACTTCTGAATTGAAACCTGAAATATCGTACAACCCCATTCTCCTGAATCCTGATACACTGCACCAGCAACCTGTACACAAATTCCATTGTAAGCTGCAATGAAAATAAATAGGATCGGACCTTAGAAGCAGGGATACCTGAACCTGCAAAACTTGTAAAGAATGTAAGATCGTGACTTTTACTAATTGAAACAAAAAAATAAAGCTAAAAGGGTAGAAGAAAACGAAACCCAAGACAGAACCATGATATTCGATCGTTCACTACTCTTGATTCGTGGTGGTCACAGAACTTCTGACTGTAAATCATGAATGCATGCAAAACAAGCAAACAAATTTCACACAGATGCAAAGTATCAACTGGGGATTGGCTTCCATGAAACTAAATAAGAACAAAAAATAAAAACCATTGTCGACTTGATTGAACAAGAAAGATAGAAAGAGAGATGTTATAGTCAGCCGAAATCATCCCCTACGGCCCCAAACAAAAATTCTTATAGAGGAGCTGGCTTTGTGATGACGGTTAGATGTGAGAACATTTGTGCTTATTTTAGACAGAAGCACAAGATAAGTAATTAACGAGAAGTTATTTTATTTAGTTCCGGAATTTTTGGAAACTAAGTACTTAATCAGTTTAAGTTTTAACAATTTGGGGTCTAATTATTCAAGCCTCCTACTACACTATGGTATTTACACATTTTATTACCTAGTTGAAGATTAGTGTTGTAAAAAGTAATTGTTCTCCTAACTCTAGATTTTCTCCCTATCCTCAATATTTCTTTCCTTTGCCTCACTTTGTCATTGCTTATCCAAGTTGCAATATCAATAGCTTTCTGCGAAGGACGAAGTCCAGAATGATGAAGGGAGTCGTTTGAAGAGACTGGTTGAAGCAAAGCGTACAGAACTAGGGCAACAGGGGAAGGGTTTAAGAGACATATCATACAGAAAGCACACAGTCACACAATATGTATGAGATTAAAAATTGTAAAGTCATTTCAATTGCATATCACAGAAGTGTGAACCTGCACACCACCTGCACAGTGGAAAATGTGCTGTAAGCTTGAAATATAAATTTCTTTCGTGATTGAGCACGTGTAATATATTGATATATGTGTGTGTGTGGTATGGAAGCGTTTGTGTGTGTATAAACAGCGACAGAGACAGATACAGAGAGAGACAGAGGCGGTTTGGGGGGGTGAGGAAACCACATAAAAGCTTTCAAATATCAGTATTCATACCCTCCTTTCTCCGCAGGTTGCTATTGCTGCTGGCCCGTCTCTCCTCACTGCCTTCTCTAACTGGACTACGGTGTCTTCTCCTTCCAGGGCTTCTGCTTCTACTGCGCCCTCTCCTTCCATCAGGGCTTCTGCTTCTACTGCGTCCTCTCCTTCCACCAGGGCTAACAGTCTTGTTCCTTCGGCTCCAGCTTTCAGGATAGCGATCCTCATCATCATACCTTCTGCTATGACCACGGCTCCCATGAGAGCGCTCTTCATAGCTACGATGCCTGTAAGGGCTTCGACTCCTGCTTCGACTGTGGCTATGCCTTCTCCGATAGCTCCCAAATAACTCATGCCTCAATTCCCTGACATTGTAACAAAGATTGAGTTAAATTAATGCATCAGTGCGTTCTGCAATAAATTTTTTTTTTTCAAGCAAACCATACCTGCTGATCCTTTTCAAGTGCATAAAATTGCAGTATCCACCACGGTTGCATGTATTCTCCTCATACTGCCTGCAGGTGGCTTCACGGAAGTCCGTCACTGGTGAAAAGTCAACAATGATAGGACGACCTGCAAGTTATTTACCAAGAGATATAAGTTCAACATATTACATATTGTAGGCCTAAAAAGCAATATAAACCATAACTAGCAGACACTTAGACATCAAATTCTGAAGTTCAAAGATACGGTGTAGAAACTAACCAGCATAAAATCTTCCACTTAGGTTCCGAAGTGCATTTGAAGCATGTTCCTCCTCCCTAAACTGAACGTACACATTGCCCACCTGCCCAAATGGATAAGTTTTGCAGTAGTATCAATAATTTTTATGATGAGAAAAGAGGAAAGCAGAGAAAGAGCTTAACTTTCTGTCGAATAAAACATACCATGTGGTCGGCTAGGTTGTCACAGACATTCAGACTTTCGATATCACCGTACTTACTCAGCTCTTGAAACAGATCCTCATAAAATTCCTGCAATTTCCAAAACGTAAACAATTTAATTGTAAGAGATATGCAAGCGCATGTACTTACATTTATACACATATACAGAACAGAGAAGGATTGCACAGGCACTAAGGTTTTCAACTATTTCACAGATGTAATATAAAGCATTTAGGTTTCAAGATGGAAAAGAGATCATATAATAAATAAACAAAAATTTATTTTGCATCCCACTGCTCTGTATTTATATTTGAAGACCCTAGACTCGACTTTGATTTTACTTACATCTTCCTTTAATCTTCCTTTTATTCTTCTCTATTCCCCATTACAGCCACTAGCAAAAGATCAAATCTTCTTCTTTAAATTAAAAAATAAAAACTTTTCATGCATCAATATTTGAAAGATGTACTTTTTAAACACATTAATTCTGAATTTCACACAGGGAAGGTCAGAGAGAGTCCAATACACATAATAAAAACCTCTAATTCATAGAAATAGCACACAACAAATCCAAAGCACAACATTCCGAACAAAAACAGTGCAAAATGCAAATGGGTTTTTGTTAAATCATTGGTTACTTTCCTCTATAACAAATAAAAAACATCAAATAAAAGCAAAAATGGCAAATGGGTTTTCAATTTTGAATATGAAGAAGGGCGAGCAGACCTCAAAGTGTCTTTGGATCTGGCGGGGGTCGATGGGCTGGCCCTGAGCGTCGACGCCGGGAGTGATCATATCAGGCCTCTGGTACATGTTGGAGAGCAAGAGGGTTGGGCTGACGCTGGGCTTGGTGTGGAGTCTGGAGCAGCGATCTCCATGCCTGCACGCCCCTATCTTAAAGTAGAAAGGGCAGTTCACCCTGTCCTTCTCTGTCCCAAATATGGAAGCCAAATGCTCAGCCATTGCAGTTCTTCTCTCTGAACAGAACAGACTTCGCTTCTATTGTGTTTGTGAATCGATGGGGGAAGGGGGAATGGGAAAAGCCTCAAACAGTGTCAGATGTAGAGGTGGGTCTGTAAATATATGCGGACGAAGGGGTTTGTTGTTGTGGTCCTTGTTCTAGAGGATTCCTTGGACGCGTGCATGATAAAAAAGTCATTCACGCAAGAAAAAAAAATGTTAAAATGGTCTAACTTCTTCAAAATTGGACATACCGATTCAGTATAATAATCTCATTGTTGGACAATGACTTGAGAGTTATTCAATGTCACTCTCAGTGAGTAACTTAAGAGTTTATTTCATGTCAGTAATTGGATTGGTTTGTCCAATGTTTGAGGGACTGGACAATTTTGTTTTGGTAACCTCCTATTGTCCTTATATGGTAAAGTCCCTATATTATATGTAAGGTTCTTCTACGCAAGGGGTTAGCCCAAGCGGGAGGAGGCCCTAGGCTTGGAAGGCAGCTCCAGCAGGGAAGACCGAGCTCGGGCAAGGTTTGGGACCCACGAGCCCGGGCAAGCCCACATGGAGATCTAGCCCATCTTCTTGCTTTCGGGCAGCTGACGCAACGCTGGCATCAAAGCTGCTAGAAACCAACGGCTACAAGCCACGTGGCTTCTCCTGAAAGCTCCGATCGGAAAATCTCTTCCAATCCAACGGTGGCCCATTTTGTGGCTAAAAAAATTGAAAAAATTTGTAAAAAATATCAAAAAATTATGGATATTTTATTTTATTTTATAAATATCTACCAATATTATTACCTTTCCACACTAAATCTTCATACAAATTCTTCTCTTTCCAATATTTTTCACTTTCCACATCAAATTTTATACTACTAAATTCCATTTTGTAAAAATACAAATGGCCTCTTCTAGAGAAGCCGAAGGCTCGTTGACAACCGTGGAAGATATTTTGTTGTGTGATTGTTGGGTCAAATTTGATCATTGCCCGTGAAGTCTTCTCATATGTGGAGAAAAATTCACTGAGAATTTTGTGAAAGATCGGGTTCGGCTCGTACGGAAATGACCTTGGCTAATAAGTGGAAATTTTTAAATAAAGAGTTAGAGAAATGGAGAGATGCATTGGAAAAAGCGAGGGAGAACGTTCGAAGCAGTGGAAATCTTGGCGACGAGGTAAAAAATTTCTAAATGTCGTTTTATTCAATTCAATGTCACATTTTTTTTATTTAAAATTTTCTTGCATTTCCAATTTTATTTTTTTAATAGATTATTCAAGCACAAATGTGGTTCGGTGCCATTGGCCAGGACAAAAAAAGTTTCATCAATCACCAATGTTGGGACGTTGTGAAGAATTGTTCAAGATTCAAAATTATTTCCATGCGTCCGATGGTTGTGTCGAATGAGACTCCGCTCCACGATTTACTGACATTGGATTCTCCATTGGACTCCTTAATGGATCAAGACTCACTAATCCAACGTCAGCCGAGGCCTATTGGGTGAAAGGCGGCAAAGACTAAGAGAGGGAGCACTTCAAACACTAAATGTGCAAAAATTTTAGACCAAATTGCTATCAACGGCTCACTTAGAATTTAGAGAGACTTGAAAAGAGATGAAGCTAACAAGGCACGATATGAAGCATATGCAACAGAAAGGCAGCAGGCACAGTGACAAGACATGGAGGACAAAGAGATGAAAATCATAGCCATGGGTATGAGCCATATATGTCTCCTGAAATAAAGTCCTATTGGAAGCTAAAACGAAGAGATGTTATGACAAGAAAGCTTTTCCATAATGATGGACCTAGCAACACGGATTGGTTAAATGATCAAAACCATTAGGTTGTATTGAAAGAGTTGCCATATGTATTAATTTGTAGTATTGTTTATCTTTTATTGAATAAAGAAAATATTAAATAATATAGCCATTCATTAAAAATATTTCATAGATAAAAACAAACCTTAATTCATTACAAACCACACACAAAACAAAGCATAATTTAAAACAAACCATTATTAAAAAAAAGAGAGCATAATTCCAAACAAAACATTAAACTTGACTTCATCCACTGTGATTGCCTTTCATCACCCATAAATGCTCGATCAAGTCAACTTGACGTCTCTCGTGAATATAAGAAGATTGCATTTCCATATAACGGTCAAACATATGGTTGTTGTACCGACCGTCCCTAATCAACGGTTCGTGCTCCAGTGGTTGTCCATTTGCTCCCACGGGCCGTTCATAAATTCTTGTCAATGCCATGTTAATGAGATTTGGTTTGAACATCTTAGGGGCATCATAATCATACTCATCCTCCACAATCATATTATGGAGGATGATGCAAGTCATCATAATGCTCCAAAGCATCTTTTCATCAAACATACGAGCAACACCCCTAATAATTGCCCAACGAGCTTTAAGATACCAAAACACAACAAAGCTTTCTTCCTTCTCCAATTAGGGATTTGGAATTGTTTTGACGAATGCTATCCACCTCGGATAAATTCCATCAGCAAGGGAGCACCCACCTGAGTATATGGTATTGTTGATTTGATACGTGATTTGGAAGGAATGACCTTTTAACACATCCTTGAATACCGGGGATTGACCAAACACATTGAGGTCGTTTTGAGATCCCTCAACTCTGAAAAAGGCACACCAAACTCGGGTATCAATGATGCAATGACCTCCATAATGATACTTTTTTTGTCCTTCCTGTTCCAATAATCTCATTGCCAAACAGTTAGGCAATTCTTCCACTGCCAGTACATGCTATCACACCCCAACCCACAGATTTACGTAACCTTGGGTTAAGACGTTGAAATTACCTGTAGGATGACTAAAAATGCTTAGAGGGGGTGAATAGGCCAATTTAAGATTGTAATAAATAAACAAAAAATAAACTTTGGTATCAGGATTGATATGGCTTATCAATCCTAAAATGTACTGAACATAAAATAAAGGAACACGCAGAGACTTATTTTACGTGGTAAGACCCCACATATGGGGAAAATCCACATGACTCCTCAATCCAACACAAATCCACTATAGAACAATGATTACAAGAAGTAATCACGCACTTATCCTATACACGTTTTAGATAATGTCTACCGACTTCTTCATTACTCAACTTCTGTCACGAGATGATCTTCAACACTCTTCATGTTGAACGCAATTAGTGGTGGAGCCACATTGGGGTCAGTGGGGTCGCACAACCTCTTGGAAGCCATGAAAATTGGCTTACAGGTCTCTTGGAGCTGGGGGAGAGACCCCCTAGAACTGCACACCAGGTGCTCGACTTGGGAAGAAATGAGTTGTGCAAGGAAGAAGAAGTGAAATGCTCTTTTGTTTTTAACTTCCTGGGTCAGAATGATGTCATTTTGCCCAGGAAGTTTTTAAAATGACCTGGCCCAACAACTCCCCCCAAACCCACCCGATACTTAATTCATAAAACCCCAAAATTCTATTATTTTCTACCCTAAGTTTCCAACTCAATCTCCCACCCTCCACCCAAACCCTCAACATGGCTGAAAAGGTTTAAAGCTGCATTTGGAGCCTCATTTATTTGGCTTGTGGCCTTAACTTACTTCACCAGGTTTTCATTCTCTTCCCTCTCCATCCCTGATTTTATAAATTTATTGTTCTTAGTGTACTTAAACCTTTGTGCTACATTCTTTTGTTGATTTTTGAGGAATTTAATCTTTTGGGTCATTATATAATGGAGTTTTTTGTGTTTCTAGGAGGTAAGGATATTTGTGATTCTAGTTGGTGGTGTGGAAAAGCTCATATTCAAGTAATTTTTAAACTCTAAATCTCTAGTTGATGATAATGCCTAATATTTTTTATTGGATAATGATTTATTGGATTGGATGAATATTGATGATTTTGTGTGTGCATGATTTATTGGATTGGATGACTATATATGATTATTTGATTTGTTGGAATTTAGGGTTTATGATTAATTTTGTGATGGACTTTTTGTCATCTCTCTGTTTGTTTATTTGCTTTAATAAAATTTGTTTCTTTTGAAAAATTGATTGACTATTTGGTTTGATTAATTCATGTGTAGAATTATAGAACAATAAGAGAAAAGTAATAGAAAATTATCTTTCAGTGTTAAAAATATATCCAAACATGAAATATGAATGATAAAAGTGTTTGATAAATCACCAAGTAAACAAGGAACACTTGATGATTTATCTCAAATAAAAACTCAGCTTTTCAAAGTTTATGCACTGAAAATATGATCGTGAAAGCTCCTAAAAATAAAGAAGACAAAGGTCTTATTTTATAGAACTTTTTCTTCTCTAGGAAGAAAAGCCCACGTCCAACACAAAATCAATTTCTTTGAAGGCTAACCAAGTAACCAAAGATATGTTTCCTAGTATGTATAAAACTCAAGTGTACTCCAAAAAGGATATTCACAATCACTTATATCAAGATTCCTAATATTCTTGAATTAATTCCAAGAATATCCCAATCCTTTAGACACATTGATCTGATTAAAAAAGTGATTGCCAATCAGAGATACTTTCCAACACAAAGCAAGATTACCCTTGAGGCCCAAGGAAATACCAACGTGATCTTCAATCAAAATACTTGAAAGACAAGTAGGAATTTAATAATAAAAGGAAAGAAGGAATAAACAAAAGATATTGAAAAATATGCTTAAATGAGATGCACTCCTAAAGGGATTCTAATTGATTAAAATCAAGGAAGATCAAGGAAATAAAATCATATTAGATTCCAAAAAATGTTCCTATTATGAGTGCATGGAAAATGACATGTCTTATCTTTCAGATCAAATGTCTCATACGTGTTAAGTCACAATTCTGGAATTTGGTGATTGCTGAGCTATTTCAATCCTGCAGTTTATGGAGATCAGAGATAGCAATTTTGCTTCAACCCTACAACTAAATGACACTTCCAAACCAATACTAAATTCTAGGAAATGCCAACACAATTTCATACTAACAGACGCGATTCACACCTTAATTATAGAATTTAATAAAAACTATAACTAAAATGTGAAGAAACATTTAAATAAATATTTCACATAGAATATTCAGCGGAAACAACAACATCTGAAATCT